TTCTCTTGTCACTCTAACCCCATTTGTCTTAGTCCTACCAGTAAGGAAATTCAGTGCTCACTGCCAGTCTTTCTGCCACAGTTTTTCTGCCACCTCTTGGTTGGCAGAAATGTTTTCTTCAAAGCAGAGGAATTTCTATTCTGTTACTCTTAATTGATAGTCACCTAGGTGTAAAATTCTTGAGTTACCTTTTCTTTCCTTGGGAATTTTTGTAAATACTCCTCCTTTTTCTGCCAACATTGAATTTTACTGTGGGAATTTTCAAGCTTGTGTCCCTCTTTTAAATGACTTGATCATTTCACCTGTTTGTGGAAATTGAGAAACCTTACCTTCAAGGTCTTGGCACTGACTGTTCTGGGTCAGTTTTTCCCTGGGATACAATGTGCATTTTCGGGAACATCTTGGATTACATTTTTACATCATCTTTATGAGCTGAGTCTTTACATACCTCTTCTGTTCCATGTTACAGTTTTCTTTTACATATGTTTTATTTCCTTTGCTGTCTTCTGTAACTCATTTTCTCCCTATTGCTGTTAACTCTTCTTTGCGTCTGTTTCATTTTATTTGCTTTTAAAAATTTCTCTCCTTTTTGTTCCTTCCTGTGTTTTTAGCAGTCTCTTCTCCCTTTTCTTCCTTCCAGATTCTTCTTCATTTCTCTGTGTTTTTTTTCCTTTCATTTATGTCTTCTCTTCTTGTCTCCCTGTTTCTCCCATATAAGCTCTTACACTTCGGCTTTGAGCTCTTGCTTCATAGTTTCCTTTTTTCAATTCTGTAAAATATTTTGTTGCATTTTATCTGCTCTATGACAGCATTTTTCTGGTGTGTAGTCTTAGTCTGCCCTTTGGTTTTCCTGTTTCTTTCCTAATTTTTTTCTGGTTGTATCTTTATATAGATCCCATGCAGATTTCATTTTTATAACTCATCTTTAAATAGGTGGGTTTTTTAGGGACCAGCTATTTGCAGGATGCTGTTTAGGGGAAGTACCAAGTCTATGTTCCAGGCTGACTGTGGTTGTTCTCATGATTTCATGTTCCAGGTGAGTTTCTTTACGTTTATTTCTACCCAGCCATGAGATTTTTCTACCATGCAAAGGCTGCCCTCTCTGCTCCCCAGAGACCAGCTCTGTGAGGCAAAATAGAGCTCATTTGGATGATTTCTCATTTAGCCCCGACTTCAGGTCCAAGGAAGTGCCTATCTTCCAAAAATCAGGAAACTATTGGGTCACAGAGGGTGTGTCCTTCACCTGCAAGAAGCTTGTTTTTCCAGGTCTTCTTGAGCTCTCCAGCTCCCATGTCCTCTCTATAGTATCCTTTCTTTTCAAAAGGAAAGGAGCCCTTGCTTGAGCTCCCTGTTTTTGACAGCTTTTATACCCATTTGGGGGCCTGTTAGTCAGTCATTCAGTCGTGTCCAACTCTTTGCAATCCCATGGACAGCACTCCAGGCTTCCCTGTCCTTTACTGTCTCCCAGAGTTGGCTCAGACTCATGTCCATTGAGCTGGTGATGCCATCCAACCATCTCATCCTCTGTCATACCCTTCTCCTCCTGCCTTCAATCTTTCCCAGCATCAGGGTCTTTTCCAATGAGTCAGCTCTTCACATCAGGTGGTCAAAGTATTGGAGCTTTAACATCAGTCCTTCCAATGAACATTCAGGGTTGATTTCCTTTAGGATTGACTAGTTGGATCTCCTTGCTGTCCAAGGGACTCTCTAGAGTCTTTCCCAGCACCACAATTCAAAAGCATCAATTTTTCAGTGCTCAGCCTTCTTTATGGTCCAACTCTCACATCCATACATGACTACTGGAAAAACCATAGCTTTGACTAAACAGAGCTTCATAGGCAAAGTGATGTCTCTGCCTTTTAATTGGGAGCCTGAGATTATGGTTATCTTCAGTTTGTTGAAAATGGAGTTTGCATTTTTGTTTATTTCTCCTTCTTGCACTTGAATACCTTTTTGAATAACATTTAAAAATTATGACTTCACAATGCAGTGTTCAAATCAGACTAATGTTTTCTATTAACCAACCGCTGGTCCCCTGTATCCTCTGTTAGGCCTTTTACTACACCTTCCCCATAAAGCCTCTCCACCACACTGTCATCCGTCTTCTAAGCACTAAAGCCCAAGGAGGATTCTGTTCAGATTTATGAAAAGCCTGTTATTCATTCAGCACGCCTACTCCACACTGGGCATTGTTCTAGGCCTTGGTAAGAAAACATGGAAGAATTCCTGCTTTATCTTCAACACACCAAAGGCAAGTCATGAAACAATTCCATGTAGAGTGTTCCTCTCTGTTTAGATGAAGAGGGTAAAAGACTCAGTTTGGGATTTTGAAGAAGTATGGTGGAAACATGAGCTCTGGAGTCAGACCTAGATTCAGTGGTCGGTTCAGCTGCTAAATATGTGAGGTTGGGACAGTTTACTGACTTTTTCATGTATTAGTTTCCACATACCAGTTTACCTCAGGTGGATGTTATAAAGTTAAAATAAGTTACATATAAAGTGTTCAGCACATAGTAAATGCTCAACAAGTACCACTCCCCCCATGAAAAAGGGATTCATTAAAAAGAAGAAATACTAGGAGTACTGGTATAGAGACCCCTATTTGTTAATTGTGGTAACATTCTCATAACATAAAGCTTACTATCTTCATTTTTAAATGTACTGTTCAGTAGTGTTAAATGAGTTCACATTTTTGTGCAGCCCATCTCTAGAGCTCTTTCTCTTGCAAACCTGAAACTGCATACCCACTGAAGAACATCCCCATTCCCTCCTCCCCACAGCTCCTGGCAGTCACCATTCTACTTTCTGCCTCTGTGATTTTAACCACTAGGTACCTTATATAAATGGAATCATACTGAATTTGTCCTTTTATGTCTGGCTTATTTCACTTAGCATGATGTCCTCAAGGCTCATCCATGTTGTAGCATGTTGCAAGATTTTCTTGTAATGCTGAATAATATCCCATTGCCATGTATATGCCACATTTTATTTATCTGCTCACTCATTGGTTGGGTTGCTTTCTACTTTTGACTGTTGTGAGTCATGCTGCTGTGAAGATAGGTGTACAAATCTCTCTTTGAATCTTTTGAGAATAATCCCAGAAGTAATAAGGTAATTCTATGTTTAATTTTTTAAGGAAACATCATACTGTTTTCTGAAGCCTATTTCTTGATGGGGAAGTATAAACAGTGTAGTTCCCCGGAGACTAATTTTAAAACCAGTCTTGTTTAACATTTTATGAACTATCTATATATGAGAGTTTCACTATTAAATCTCCTTTGCGTAGAGATAATGAAATAGTTCATATTGTGTAAAATATAAGAACACCTCATGTGAGTGTAGACAGAAAAGTGGGTTAATAAGGCTTAATTAGTATAGGGAAACATATTTGTATTTGAATGTATGCTTTAGTATACTCCCTTGAGGTCAGAAGTTCTCTAGTTGCAGCTGTTATTTACCCAGTTTATTTATCCACTTACTATGAACAAAACGTGGAGAACTGATGGGCCAGTAAACTTCATAGGTCAGAAGTACACAGACACACATAATGTCTTTTTTCTTGACTCTCCCTAGCAAGACTCTCCACACTGTAGAGTATATTGGCCTCAGATCCTCCGTAGTCTAGTCTAGTCTAGACCAGTGTGGTCTCAACTGAAGACAGTTCTTGCCCCTGCAGACATTTGACCATACCTGGAGACATTTTTGTTGTCTCAGCTGAAGGGGTGCTCTGGAATCTAGTGGACAGAGACCAGGAGTGCTGCTAGACCTGCCACAGTGCACGGAGCAGCTCCCCCACCACAGGGAACTCTCCAGCCCCAAAGGGCAGGTTGAGAGACCTTGCCTTAGACCCAAACTACCTCCTCAGCTTTGTTCTCAGCCTCTCTCGTGTGTAAACCTGACATTCTAGCCAGACCCAGGTGTGCCTCAGACCCTACACCAGCTGAAATCTTCCTCCCTGCTTCTCTGGTGTCAGACCCAACTTCAGGTCTCGCACTGTCTCACTGAAGCTAGCTCTGGCCTCTCTGACCACCACTCTCTCCCCTCTTGGACTTGCTGTAGGACTGTCCCACTGATTTGGCACTTGGTTGACCATACAAGGTAGTCTCTTTCCAAATTGACTAAAGTGCCTTGAAGGCCATGTTGACATGACTTGATGTGCAGCGTGACATACCAACCCTTACATATCCCAGTAGGCACTTCTGACCTGACACACGTGGGACTCCATGTACGCTTTCCTGCATGCATAGTGTAGAGTTGCTGAATCAGCACAGTACTCGGCCATCACTGCAGTCTGAGAACTGTGAGCCGGGTGGAAGGCCCACATGGGAGCCCCGTGACCAGAGAGGTGTTCGTGCTGAACCTGGTTTCCTCGCTTAACTAGAACATATGAGGAGGGTGCCAGAGGATGGGCCTGTTATGACCTAGCTTATGAAGCCTGGAGGATAATGTATTTCACATGGAAATGTGTGTAGACAGGAATTGTTCTGTCATAGCTGGGCTAGTTGGATACCAGTCGGTATTTATGATGATCACACTCGTAATGAAAGCCATCATTGTTTATTTAGAGCCCAGTGTGTGCCAGGCACCAGTCAGGTGCTTTATACAGGTTATCTCATTCAGCCCTCACCACAGTCCTGGAAGGAAGCTGAAGCACTGGAAGGATCATCTGCCCAAGGTCACTCAGCTCACAAATAGCAGAGCTGAGATTTACACACAGTCTGACTTCATACAACACCACCCTGCCTTGAGTGTAGCCAGGCCCTCCTGCCACTGGTCCTGGGGGAGGTCTGTATCTTGACACGCTTAAGTGGGGGGGAGTCCCCCGTGGCCTCACCTGAGAGGTGGGTGATCCACGGGGCTGAGGCGCTCATTGCGCATCAGGTGCCAGTGTCGTGTCTGGCCTCTCTGCTGCTGCAGGAGAGCCTACGGGGCTTCCTCTGGGGCCACAGCCTCATGACTACAAGGGGCTCTGGCCCTTCTCACTTCTGCTTCCCCTGCAGGTACACTACATCCTTCAGGAGGTGGTGATGGGTGGGATGGTCCTGGAAACAAACATGAATGAGATCGTGGCTCAGATTGAAGCCCAGAACAGGCTGGAGAAGTCCGAGGTGAGACACTGCTGGAATTTTGCCCTGACTGGGTAGAGCAGACCTGGGAAGAGGGGGGAATGGCTGCTGTGTGGAGTTGGGTTATTGTGGAACCTTAGGAGTGTTTTCTGCTCCATCCTCTTTTCCCCTGAGTCCATTGACGCTCATTGGTTTGAAGATTAAACAGGTGAGAATGAGGCTAAAAGTGTGAATGGAAAGCCAGGTGGCACAGGAAGGCAGACAGCTTCTGGCTTGGGGAAATATGTGGGTTGTAATTCCTCCTTTCATAACCACATGTTCCCTGGGGGACCCAGAATCACCTTCTCAGATTCCAGTGTGGTTTCCTAGCTTGTGTGTCTGAGAGTTTGTCCCCCAGCAGCCACTTCTCATGGTGTCTGTCAAACCTCAGAGTGGCCGGTTTCCAGTTAGCCTGATAAAAAGCTACAGTAGAGTTTGGGCTGAGTTTGAAAATAGCTTCCTCCCAGTCCACCCCCTCATAGTGCTGAGTCTGATACAGATGCTCCCAGTACGTTCTCCCCTGTTCCCCTGAGATCTCTCCGTCACCTTCGTCAGCCTTAGCGGGGAGCAGAGGTTACCAGCACACACCTTCACAAACAGGAGAGCAAGCACAACAGATTACCTCTGTAGTTATCTGAGCATCTTAAAGAGCTTCACTGCTTTGTGTATCATCTTGCGAAACTAGGGATTCTTTCTGTGAGGACTGGCAGTCCTGCTGAAGAAGCTTTTCCAAACCGCAGCTATTGTGGCAACTAGAGTTCTCTTAGAAATGCAGGCTGGGAAGCTTCCAGGAATAGTAAGTGAGTCAGAGGCCAGGGGTTTGGAAACTAGAGGAAACGGAGACTTGCTGCGCAAGGGAGGGATTGGAGTCAGGATCCTGAAAGTGGTCGAGAAGGAGGAAGTGGTTTTGAGAATGTCCTCGCCAACTTCTCCCCTTCTCTGCATGCCTGGGCTGAGCTGGAGGGCTGGGGCTCACCGAAGGCACCTTTCCTCCCCGCGCCGTTTCCCGCCCTTCCGTGTCTGTGTGTGCTCCAACCTCCCCTGCGGCCTTCCCCCCATCTTGTGGCCACATGACATTTCCAAAGGCAGCTCTTCTCCATCTCACATTATTAGTTGGCACGCAGTTGTCCTAAGCTGTGACATTCCTTTTTCCGTTAAGAATGTCCCTGTGACTGCACTCGTCTGTTAAAAGAGTCTTCAGTTTCTTGAGGAAAGTGTTGTATTTTTGTTCCGTGACCTGAAAAGTGACCCTGATACTGAAGACAACTTGGTTAAACCATGCTGGTTATTTTGGCGGGCATCTGTTGAGCAGCCCCTGTGTGCCAGGCACTGTGGGCGCTGGGGCCAGGAAACTACACGAGACACAGCACATCATCCGGGGTGCAGAGTGTGGGCCCCTTTACTGCGGAACCCACTGACCTAAAGAGTGGTGTTGGCCACCTTTGAGGCATAAGGATGGAACAGTCAAAGCTTGTGTTACATGTACTCAGTTTGGACATTTTCCCTCTCTCTTTTCGCTTGTTTTTGTTGTTGTTGTTGTTGTGAAAGCATTAAGCAGATGACAGTGAGAGTTTATCACACAGCCACCTTCATATCTCTGCAGGGTGGCCTTTCAGCCGCACCCGCCCGAGCGGTGTCCGCTGTGAAGAACATCAACCTGCCAGAGATGCCCCGGAACATCAACATCGGCGATCTCAACATCAAGGTCCCCAACCTGTCCCAGTTTGTCTGAGAATGGAGGACAGCTGAACTGAGTCCTTGGAGCAGGCAGAGCCGAGCCAGCCCTGCAGCACAACCCGCTCTGCGCCCTCAAGGAGTCCAGCCTCGAGCCCTGGCCCCTGCTGTCCTGGAACAGGAAAGAGTCCTGTGTCCACTGCCAGCCTGTGCTCCCTTCTCACACGTGTGGCCTTGCCCATCTCTCGGACACACAGCCACTGCGGGTGTGAGGGACCCTGGCTTCCTCAGTGGGGGTCAGGTGCCCAAGTCACATGCCCCCTTTCCCTCCCGTGTACAGCCACTCCAGGGGATTGGGGACTGTAATGAGAGCCCCCTCCCCACCCCCGATCCCAGAACCCCACCACGAGGATGTGTGCTGACTCGAGGCTTCAACCTTGAGTTGAAGGCTCCCTGAGATCCTGCAGCATTGACTATGATGGTGAGGTGCCATAGCTGGGAACGGATTGACCCTCTAGATCTGGGAACGTGGTGCATGGCAAACAAGGACAGGAGTTTAAGGTGATCCAGAGTGGCCTGCTGGCTCTCCTGGGGTTGGCACTTCCAGAATCCTTTGGCACAGTCCAGCCTCGTTACCCGCACCTACGTTCTCCACAGCCACAGTCCCAGCTCTGCTTGCCCAGCTGTGCGTGTGTACAGGACACAGTCCAAATTGTAAGCCTGTTGCTTGTCTGCCTGCACATTTCTGCCCATAGGGAGGGCACTCCCCACAGCCAGAGCGGTCCCCGTCAAAGAGCTAGGGCCCCCTGTCTGTGGAAGGCAAAGCTGACAACACGTGGAACATCTCAGAATTGTGACTGTTCTAGGTTTAAAATACATTCTCCTCCCGAGGAGCAGATGGGTCAGTTGCTGTGTTCTGAATGATGGGTGTTCTCTGTACAGGAAACCCACTTCAGTCTACACCAGCTTGTGGAGCATGAGCGCCTGAGCTGGGGCCCCCTGTTTTGGACCTAGGGACACAGGCAGCGTGCTGGCTGAGACCTGGGACAGCGCGGAATCTTTTCCCCACTTTCACAGGGTCCCTCCCTGAGCTCGCTGTGGAAACCTGTAAATGTTTTCCATGTGGTGAGGGTCTTTGTTCCTGTGGTTATCTTAGAGCTGGAGCTGCTCCTGGGAGCAGTGCCTCTTACCCCGGCACTGCCTCTGGGCCAGGGCTCAGGTGCCTCGTTGAGCTGCTGAGGTTAGGGAGCTCGCTGTACCACGCTGTTAAGTCTCCCAGCCTGGGGACTTCTTGTGCCTCTGGCTGGTGGCCCAGACTGTTTCCTCAGGCCTCCTGATGTCGCAAAGCCTGTCTGAGATGTGCCCAACGAGACCATGTGTCAGGTCATGTCTTCTCCTGCTTTGAACAGTGCTTCCTGTGGTGGGTGTCCTTTATTCCCTGTAGCCTCTTAACTTCAGTCTTTCGGAACCTCTCCGATAACCTCAGAGATGGGCAGTGTTGCTGAGAAGGTAGATGCTCTTATGTTGGAAGAGAGAAATGTAGGTAAATATATCTATCCAAGGTCAAAGCCTCTGATGTTCTTTTCAGTTCAGTTCAGTCACTCAGTCGTGTTCGACTCTGTGACCCCATGAATTGCAGCACGCCAGGCCTCCCTCTCCATCACCAACTCCCGGAGTCTACTCAACCTCATGCCCATCGAGTCGGTGATGCCACCCAGCCATCTCATCCTCTGTCGTCCCCTTTTCCTCCTGCCCCCAATCCCTCCCAGCATCAGGGTCTTTTCCAATGAGTCAACTCTTCGCATGAGGTGGCCAAAGTATTGGAGTTTGAGCTTCAGCATCAGTCCTTCCAATGAACACCCAGGACTGATCTCCTTTAGGATGGACTGGTTGGATCTCCTTGCAGTCCAAGGGACTCTCATAGTCTTCTCCAACACCATAGTTCAAAAGCATCAATTTCTTTTAAAAAGTTTAAAATTTTTTTTTTACAGACATTTCAGCCTATTCACATTCCTCTTTCATAATTTGCTTAAAGTGAAATAGGAACAAAGAAGGAAATTGGTATTTATTTTATACTTTCTGTAAGATGGCATGAGCAAGATCCTTCTGCAGTCCTTACAACAGACATTGTTATCTCCCATTCTGCAGGTCAAGAAAATAAGACTCAGAGAGGTCAAGTAACTTGCTTTAGGTCACACAGGGCTAAGAGTTGAGACTGACTGCCTAAATCCACGGTTCATTTTTTTTTTTTCCACTGCTCAAGATGGCTTCTCCCAATTTTATTTTCTTTCTTATGGATAAGGAAACCTCAAAATTTTTAGATAGCTTCTCAGAAGCTGTGATTAAAAACAGCTTTGGTTTTCTAAAGTAGCCAGTGAGAGTATGAAAGAGTGTAAGAACTGGAAGGTCCTCCCCATGCCTGCAGTGAACCAGTGAGGAAACCGAAGCCCAGGGTGTCATGTTGAGGGTCACAAAGCTAGAACCAAGTCTCCTCCTTTTTACAATTTTTATTGGAGTATAGTTGATTTACAGTGTTGTGTTAGTTTCAGATGTACAGTAAAGTGAATCAGCTATGTGTATACTCGCCAAGCTGTTTTTCTAGTTTGCTTTATGGCCCATTGCATTGCTATGGCACAGCCACATATCCTGGATTTCCTGGGATACTCTGAATGTCTTGCCTGCCAGAAACCAGTGATTTCCCCAAACCATTGACTGGCCTGGAGACTCCAGCAGTGGAAATTCCGGCCTCATCCCTTGCACTGCCTCTAAAAAATGACGTAGAACTTGATCTTGATCTGTGGTTTGGAACACTTGATCCCTTTGGATGAGCCACAGTAATTGTTCATTAACTACTTAAGGTTGCCTGTAAATCAACCCTTCTGACCTGGTATCAACAAAGCCATAAACTTTAATAATAAGGAAATCCTCATTGGCCTTTTTTGGGAGAGGGACACATATTGCTGCTGAGAGACGTCAGTTGTGAAAAGAGGGGCTAGGTTTGAATTTGGGGGTCCTTGGCCCTGCGTGGCTCACACTGAGGATTTTCTAAAGTGGTACAGAACACTGGGTTTCCAGTGCTCACTGCCACTAACAAAACTCATATTCTTCAATCATTCAATTTCTAAGTGCCTGGTGAGTGCCAGGCCCAGTTCTAGGCCCCCAAAGATGGAGAGAAAAGAGGCTCTGCCCCCTGCAGCTGTCTCTGCTGAGTGTCTAGTGCTCAGGTTACATCTGACTGGCAGCCTGAATTTGTGGAGACTGGAGTGTTAACTTTGTGTTACATGGAATATTTAACAGTAACTCATTTCCCAACCCCAGCTGACCCCACTGTGCCCTGCTGTCCATGCTCCAAACAGCCTGTCTTCAAGCTGCTATCTCAAAAATACCATAGACGAGGTAGCTTAAGGAACGCTGTCTCACAGTTCCACAGGCTGGTCACGGGCAGGGTGCCGGCAGATTTGGTGCCCAGTGTGGGCCAACTTCTCGTTTCACAGAAGGCCATATCCTTCTGCTCTGTCCTCACATGCTGAAGAGAGAGCCCTGGGCTCCATCCCTGTATAAGGGCACCATGCCCACCGTCAGGGCGCCCCCTCGTGATGTCACCCAATCCTAATCACCTCTCAAAGGCCCCATCTCCAGATATATTCACACAGGAAACTGAATGTCAGCGTATGAATCTGGGGGAGGACACAGTGAGATAGATGACATCACCAACTCGATGGACATGAATTTGAGCAAACTCCAGGAGATGAAGGACAGGGAAGCCTGGTGTGCTGCAGTCCATGGAGTCACAAAGAGTCAGACATGACTCAGCAACTGAACACCACCACCAAGCATTGAGTCCACGCACCCTACCTAATGATCCCTTGTTCTGCTAGGTCTGGTCATGGCCCTGTGCTTGTCACATTGAGGATTGTTAGGATATCTTGAATCTAATCAAGTCCTTGTTACTCAGGCCTCTGCCACTTACAGAGCCAGCCTTTCGTCCCCACCACCTCTACCTCCATGGAGCCAGCCCAGGGAGAGAAGCAAGCAGAGTTAGGCTAAAACTAGGCTGCTGGCTAAATCCTGTCTTGTGGACCAGTATTTCATAGGGAATGTCCTTAGTGTGGTCTGTGGGTTTCCAGATAGGATGCAGCAGTGATTGGTGACCCAAGATAAAGACCAGGAGACAGTGATGGCCAGGAGCGAGCCTCTGAAGGATGGGCAAGACCTTGGGAGGAGGACGTTGGCCCCTAGCAAACATCCTGGCCTTCTGCTTCCCAAGTCTCCCGCCCTGCCACCAGAAGGGTGTCCATCTCACTGTGGTCACTGTGAGCCTGGTGCCACAGGCTAACGAACGGCTGACCTCGCGGTTAAGTTGATGCCGCCTGGGGAGCACTGTTGAGCCAAACTCCGACTCAGTTCCCCCAAACCACCGAGCACCTCCCACCCCAATAGCTGGTAGCGACAATTGTTTCCAATTTAAAAGATTAGGAAACAACAGCCCCTGGAATTTTATTACCAAAACAGAGTGTGCGTTCCTGAATTCTGTTCCCTTTGACCTTGGTGGTTGACCCCAGCCCTCCACTCAGCCATCCTCTGTAGGGAGGCAGGGCCCCCCAGACCACCCCGTTTTCCATGGGACTCTGATGTCCTGTGTGTGAGTTGTTCATTGTCACCTCCCCTACTAGAATGTACACCCCTCAAAGGTGGGCCCTTGTCTTTCCTGCTGAGTTCTGTGTCCCAGCTGCTATGAACAGTGTGCGTGGTATGTATCAGTAAGTAACTATGGAATGAGTGAGCGATTGAGACCAATGGTAAATCATTCTAGCACTCATTTGTAGCTTCTGCTTCTGGGGGCCCCATGCTCAGTCAGCTTTTTGGGTAATGGCATTGGGAACCGCTGGTAGAGAGGGGCCAGGTGATGCCTGTGGAGCGAGAGGGAGAGGAGAAAGGGACAGCTGATGACAGTGGAGCCCAGGTGACCATTACCCAAGGGGAGGAGGAGGTTTGGGAGGGAGGAAGACCAGAGTCTGGAAGTGGGTGTGTGAAACTGAACTTCCCTGACAGTATCTGGGGCAGATGTCTGCCAGCCAGCTGGGAACCGGGGAGAGGGCAGAGAGGACATGAACATCCATCCCAGAGAGAGGGTGGTTGAAGCCTTGGGGACAAGTCATGTGGCCAGGGGAGGAGAGGAGATGATTGAGGGTTCAGCCTGTGCCTAGAGGAAAAGAGAGTCGAGATAGGAGCTGCTTCAAGTCAAGGGAGGACTCTCAGTGGGAAGGGCCCCTGCGAAAGGCCAAGGAGTGGAGGCTGAGAAGAGATGGCCTCTCTTGGTCCTGCTGTTGCCCCCACCAGGTTCCCTAAGGGAGGAAGCGAATGGGGAAATTGGAAGGGGTGGTTAGCCTAGTGGTGGGGTGGGTCTAGACCACGAGGTGGTCGTGTGAGAGTGTGGGTCACAATCCAGCTCTGTGATGTACAGAGCCTTCTTTGGAAGGTCAGCATCCGCATCCATAAAGGGGTGCCAGTGTTTGAGGGCTAACTGAAGACTGATGAAGACCACGGAAGAGTCCGTAAACACGGGCTGCTGTCACCACTGGGGCTTTTGCAGAGGCAGTGGGAACCGAAATAGATGCAGTTAGCTAGGAGGTTTGGTGGTGGTGGGATGCAGAGACCAAAGTCCATGGTGCTCGAGTCCTGGCAGAAGGCCTCAAAAGTGGGGCCGCAGATGGCTGCTGGGGACAGGACCTGCTGGCCTGTCCCCCACCTCCCCGCGCCCTCACAGTGCACCCCATGGACTATAGCCTGCCAGGCTCCTCTGTCCATGGGATTCTCAGGGCAAGAATACAGGAGTGGGTTGCCTTTCCCTTCCCCAGGGGATCTTCCCAACACAGGGATTGAACCCAGGCCTCCTGCACTGCAGGCAGATTCTTTACCGTCTCTGCCACCAGGGAAGCCTACATCTAGGGGCCACCACTGGATAAAGTAGGGGTAGGGGAAGCAGTGGAATCTGGAAAGTGAAGCTTCCCTTACAATGAGGGGTTTGAAGGCACCAGAGAACAAATGTGTGATTGGTGGGACCAGAAGTGCGGGGAACACAGCCTGGAACTCACGCCCCCCAGAGTCAGGGCCATGGAGAGGCCCTGAAGGCACAGTGGCAGGAGTCGGCACTTGGCCAGGACTGGGATGAGGACCTCTGGCCACACGGGCCTGGCCAAGAGTTGGGGTCTTAGAGGGACTTCATGCTTCCCGGGAGACATGGGAGCTTTGGGCTTTCTTAGGAGCTAATCTGTTTTTTTCAACACCGATATCAGCCTGGCCTCCTGAGAGCACCTGCCACCTGGGATCCGGCCACACCTCTGAGAGGGAAGGTTGAAGGTTATCTCCTGTATTGGTGATAACATGCCTTTGACAGACCGAGGGAATAAAGACACAGCTGATGTAATCTGGAGAAGGAAATGGCAACCCACTCCAGTATTCTTGCCTGGAAAATCCCATGGATGGAGGAGCCTGGTAGGCTACAGTTCATGGGGGTCACAAAGAGTCCGATATGACTGAGCGACTTCACTGACATAATAGGAGGAGGAGGTACTGGTCAATTTGTACTTTATTCTTTTTTTATCTTTTAAGAGTTCAGCTCTTTAGCAAACATGTTACAAAAGAGGTTCAGTCAAAGCCCAAAGCCCATGTCATGATCAGACTCCTCAGGCCACTCTTTCTCAGCTGTCTTCTCAGCTGGTGGGGGCGGCAGGAACTCCTGCAGCTGAGCCCCAGGCACTGGGCAAGCCCACCAGCCCCTGCCCTGCACATGGGGCTCACAGTATCGACACTGGCCAGAGCCTTGGCAAACCGTCCTGGCCAGAAAGGGTCAACGTTTACACCAGCCGCTTAATGAGGGCCTGGCTCCTCCGTGACCATCACCCCGTTGTGCAGGGTGAGTTAGATGCAGGCAAGCTTCCAGATGGAGGCCGTGATACAAGCAAACGTGAAGCAGGCACTGCTAGGCAAGGTGCTGGACACGGGATGAAGTGAGGACCTCACTGCAGCGCGACCTGAGCTTCCTCCGAGGGACTGAGCACCTTAGTGGCAGCTGAGAAAGGGAGCCAGGTAAATTTCTCAAAGACTGGGTCCATGGATTCCCCAGGCTCAGATGATATTCAAACTATCTACCAGGCCTGGCTCAGGCACTGACGGGTGGAGGTACCAGACCGGGGCTTGGCGATGCTACTGGTATCCATGATGCTCCTGCCTCTCCTGTGGCAACAGAGAGGAGAACCCAGGAGGCTGCCACACCTGGAGCTACTCCGGCTCCATCCTCTACTGGCCTGTGTGGGTGCTGGTTGGTTGCAGTTGTGGCTTGGTGGCTCAGCGTGCCTCTTCCTGCTTGGGTCCCAAGGTGGGAGGGACAAGGAACCTTCTCATACCCCATCCCTCGACCCTTATGAACTGGCAGTGAAACTGGAGGTCAAGAGGTAGCCGCAATCCAGAGCACCCATTGCAGAAGGTCACTGCCTTGGCGCTGGGCAACCTGGTAGTGAAGGTTTCCTCTCGCCACCCAGACCCGAGCACTCGACACTGGGCCCCCTCTCCGAGCCTCCAAGTGCCTCCTCAGCTGGCCATACACCTCACAAATCTCACTGTCTGGCAGGCAGAGGGTAGCTGCATGCCACAGATGGCAACATGTGTGGCCTGGGAGGTAAGCCTTTCTTGCTAGGAAAGAGCTTATCTAAACTGAAGCAAGGTAGGATTTGATCTGCTGAGTGCTGAGCCAGCTTTTCTGGAACTTCTTTTGTGTGTCCAGCAGGTACAGTTGCTCCACCGGGAAGTGGCTCCCACTCAGATGCTGGCCTGGGCACTTCTGGATGTTTTCTGCTGAAATTCCCTCTTTTTTTTGGCTGAGTTTCCCCAGCCTCTCCCTGCCTCTTTTCCACCAACTGGCTCCCTGCCTTGACCCTAGGAAGTGTCAACCAACCCATCCGCTGTTTAAAGTGCGCGATGATATTGCAAGATTAGGAGGAATCCTGGGTCCAAGGTCTGTGCCAAACTGGCAAGTGATATGGTAATACCACCTGGCATTGCAAGTGACTTGGCACAGGTTGGCAGCCCAGGGCAGCGGTCTCTGCCTGTCAGGTCCCTCCCTGAGCCACAGTCTCAGGGTGACAATCCTCTCCTGTCAAGCCACCCACTCCAGCCTCAGCCCCGGCCCACTGAGCTGCTCTGGGTTCCTGTGGTCCCAGAAAGGCCTCAGATTCCAGGCCGGGCCAGGCCTTGGCCCTGGCCATCCCCTCCGCCTGTCTTCAGGCCTTCCTCACTCCCTCACTTCAGGAGAGTCTGCACAAATGTTGCTCTCAGACCTTCCCTGCCCTTCCCTGTTTCTCATGGTGCTTGTCAAACTGACATCATCATGTTTGTAACATCAAACTCTTTTTTTTTTTAAACTATTTTTTGCTGCTGTTTTTGCTGTGCCTACCACAGCGCCTGACCCAGCTCTGCTGTTTCTCTCTCAACGTGCATGGAACTCCACACCCACTCCAGGCTTGAGGGCTCTGTGGGAGGGGGTCGTGGGGCCTGGCTTCTTGATTCCCCATGTGAGCCTGAGTGTGCCATTTAGTGCCTCCTTCTTCCCTGATAGTCGGTAAAGAATCTGCCTGCAATGCAGGAGACCCCGGTTCAATTCCTAAGTTGGGAAGATCCACCAGAGAAGGAATATGCTACCCACTCCAGTATTCTTGGACTTCCCTTGTGGCTCAACTGGTAAAGAATCCACCTGCAATGCGGGAGACCTGGGTTCAATCCCTGGGTTGTGAAGATCCCCTGGAGAAGGGAAAGGCTACCCACTCCAGGATTCTGGCCTGGAGAATTCAGGGTCCCAAAGAGTTGGACACGACTTGAGCGACTTTCACTTTCTTCCTAGTTGTAAGAATAGTGTATGGGAACACACTTATCATAGAGACGTGAAGAGAGCCCTGAATGGGAGGTAAACTGGGTTTGAATCCTGGCTTCACCTCTTGCTAGCTCTGTGGCCTTGCACAACATACCTAACCTCTCTCTGCTTCAGTTTCCTCATCTGTGAAATAAGATTAAAACAGCTTCCTTGAATCAGTCAAAGTTCTTGATTGCAAACAACAGAACTGACCCAGAAGCTTACTAAAGGGTTACTGGGGAGGCTCCACAGGAGGATGGAAAGCCTAAAACAGCTGACCGGGTCACAAGGAAGACTGTTCCAGGGAGTCTGGCAGCACTGGGCCTGGGGCCGCAGCCCCTGCTGGCCTTCCATGAAGAGACAGGCTCCTAGCAGCACCTCCGATCGGTGGGGCTCAGGTCCAGAGACCAGGACAGCAAGTAGAGGGGCTGGCCCAGCATCGCACGGTGGGGAGCTCGCTGAGCTAGCGGGAAAGAGGCGCCGCCGCCTAGCACATTGCATGCAGAGGGTTGTCCTCAGGATTAGCAGTTAATCCAGAGCCCTGTACACAGCTGGTGGGAAGCTGCTGGAGTCCACTGGGGTTAGTGCATGCTTATCCTGTGACTCACTGATGCCAAGGAGTGTACACGTCCTCTGGAAGGTGGGGACAAAAAATTTTAACAGCAGCGCTATGCGTAATCACCCAAAACTGGGTATAGCCAGATGCCCATCAAGGAGGGAATACATGGGCCCTTCCTGGCAGTTTAGTGGTTAAGACTCCACACTTCAACGCAGGGAGCGCAAGTTCCATCCCTGGTCGAGGAACTAAGATCCCACATGCCTCGTGGCCAAAAAACCAAAACATAAAAAAACAGAAGCAATATTGCAACAAATTCAATAGAGATTTAAAAAGTGGTCCACATTAAAAAAAAAAGACACAAAACACTTTAAAAAAGGGAATACATGAATAAATAAGTACCCTGGAATACTACAAAGCCACAAGAAAGAACTACAACTACATATAACAATGTGGAGATATCTAAGAAACACAACGCCAGGCATAGAAAGCCAGGCTGAAAACCATGTACTTTGTATGGGTTCATTTATTGCCACTTCAAACACAGGCAAAATGGATGTATGGTTTTAGAAGCTGAGACAGTGGGTGTCGGCCTAGAAAGACAGAGAAGAAGGGGCTGGGGTGGGGTTCCCGGTGCTGAGAATGCTTGTTTTCTTCAACTGGGTGCTGGTTTCACAGTGTGTTCTTTGTGAAGCTTCACTGAAGTTCCTCATTTATGATTTGTTTTTTTGTATTTTTCTCTAGGCTTGATATACTTCTATTAAAAAAAACAAACAAACAAACATACAGGGCTTCCCTGGTGGCCCAGTGGTAGAGTCCACGTGCCAAAGCAGGAGACATGGCTTAGGTCCCCAGTGCAGGAGGATTCCACATGCTGAAGAGCAACTAAACCCATGTGAAACTACCGAGGCTGTGCTCTAGAGCCCGGGGTCTGCAACTACTGAACTCAAGCGCCCTAGAGCCCATGGTATAAAGAGAAGCCACCACAATGAGAAATCAGTGCACTGAAATTAAAGTAGACCCCAACCCCTGAAACTAGAGAAAAAAAATCCACACTGCAACAAAGACCCAACACAACCAAAAAATAAAATTAGTAAAAATAGTAAAAAAAAAAAAAAAAGAATTTGTCCCCAGGAACAGGAAGCACTGAGGATAGTGCCCATGGTGTGAGCTGAATAAATGTTAGGTCATTGTTGTTAGCATCGTCCTAGTCCAGTTGGTCTTTCTCCCACCTAACCACACCATCCTCTTAGACTAGAAGAGACCCTTGTGTTTTCACCTCTCAAGTCCATCTGTAGACAGAGCTGATGCTGCAAGTTTAGGGGTTTTGAGCCTGTTTGTAGGTGGTGGGGAAAGACCTGAATCGGTGCCACCCAGTCACTCATCAAGGAATCAGCCACTTTGTGCAGAGGCTGGGAGGCCAGTCAGAGTGAGAACTGGGCACACCAAGGGCCTGCAGGTAGCTGAGGACAGGAGTGGAGGCTGAGATCTGGGAGGTGACGGACAGCTAGGGCCTCAGAGGCAGGGATAGGTTGGAGGCCATCCTGAGGACAGCAGGAAACCTGGGAGGGAGAGGTGTTGTGTGTGTTTGTGTGTGTGTGTGTGTGTGTGTGTTGGGCATGGGGGAGGTGTATGTGTCCCGTTTTGCTCTGGCTTCAGTGAGGAGAATGAATGAATGAAAAAGGAGACCTGATTGGAAAGAGTGGGGCAAGAGGGAGGGATTATGAAAGGGCATGAGAAAACTTTTGAGGTGACAGACATGTTTATTTTATTAATTGTGGAGATGGTTACATGAACATACATGTGTCAGAACTTATGGACTTCTATTGTTATTATTATTATTGACTGGGCCGTGTGGCATGTGGGATCTTAGAGCCCTGACCAGGGATCAAATCCACACTCTGCACTGGAAGACCGGACTCTTAACCACCGGACCATCAGGGAAGTCCAGAACTTACAGGCTTTATATATAGTTTGTTGGATGTCAGGTATAACTCAATAACAGTTTTTAAGGAAAATCCAACTCTGCTAGACTAGAATTCTATAAAATTCTTATCTTTAATTTACAGATGAGGAAAATGAACTTCTTTGGGATTAAATAACTTGCTGAGGGTCACTCAGCTCTTAAAGGCTGGATCCAGAGTCTGAATGAACCAGGTGTGCCCGAATTCAAAACCTGTGCCTTTTAATCCTGAAGGAGTCTGAGTGGCAGGCCAAGGGGCCAGGAGTGAGAGCCCCCAGGTCCGAATACAGCCCACCTATGGGACCCCAGAGACGGCCCCTCATGAACACAGTGTTCCCCAAGAGCCCCCTCGTTGGGGAGGTAGGCAGGTGCCGGGCCCCACGGTTCTCAGCACAGCCCCACGTCTCCTGGGAGAGTGGGCATACAACATGGCAGCGGCGGGGTTCTGCAGCCGACTGGTACCCACTTGGGAGAGCTGACTTAAAATTCCAG